ATACGCTTTATCAATTGATCTCGTAACCTAAATTACCACTTTTAACAACTATGCAGATATATATCCAGATACTTCTTCTCCTGTACCAATTTTAGAGTGGCACACTTTAGCTTAACTGTCTCTCCATGGATTTCCTATCGAAATGTATCAGCTCACACTTTGCATGGAACTTCATCTGTCACATATCTACCACTTCACCAACTTATCTAAGTTCTTTTGAAGTGCTCTAGTACCCGCACAGTTTACAAGGCTTCCAAGTTCTGTATCATATGCAAATATTCAAACAGTGCCCCATATGCCAAAGTCCAGATCATTCATACGTAGGAAGAAAAGCAAGAGTCCCAACACTGAACCTTGGGAAATTTAATCCCCTAGCCAGAAAAAAAAATGTCTTACCCAATGCTCTGTTTGCTAACACTTAGCTAATTTTATATCCACGTTGCTGTCCCTTTCATTCCATGAGCTCTAACTTTGCTCACAAGTCTGTGTTGCAGCATTAGGTCAAAGGCCTTCTGGAGGTCCATATGCAGACTGATCAACTGTCTCTAAAACCTCATCAAAAATATACCCAAATTGATCCACGTCATCATTCATTTAGTCCTGAGATATTATTTCCAGAAGTTTCTCAACCACCATAGTTAAAAAATTGACTAGTCTGTAGTTGCTTGTCTTATCCTTATAACCTTTTTTGAACAAGGGCATAACAGTTGTAATTCTTTACTCCTTTGGCACCATTTCTTAGACTAAGGAAGACAGAAAAGTTATGGTTATAGCCTCCGAAATTTCGATTCTCACTTCCTTCAGTATCCTTGAATGCATTTCTTCCAGTCTTAGTGCTTTGTCAACTTTCAATATAGACAGATTTTTCAACACCTCGATGTCACCAATTTTAAACCCTGCTAGCCACTGAATTTCCTGGTCTTTCATTATGTCTTTCATGGTAATGACAGATACAAACTATTCATTTAATATTTCAGCCATGCCCTCAGCTGTCACATGTAAAACACCTTTTTGGTCCCTAAATAGTCTAGTCCTCCTTTTATCACCTTTTTACTAATTATAACCATACAAGAGACTTTGGAATTCTCCTTCATGTCAGCTGCTAGTCACAATCCACCTCTCCTTCTTTTATTTGCTGTTGCATCTTCCCTCCAAACGTTTCATAATCAGCCCGGTTCTCAATTGAATTTTTGACCTGACATTTGTTGTAAGCACACGTTCTTCTTTACCATCATTTCTGCCGCATTTGACATCCAGGATACACTAGATTTGTTTGTCCAATATTCCCTTTTGAGGAAATATATTTTGAACGCGTCCACTGTTCAGTTACCGTTTATTACGCCAACCTTTGACTCCAATTTATTTCACTCAGATTCATTCTTATTCCATTGTAGTTTTTCTAGTACTAATTAATTATTCTTACCATGATTGTTCATTCTATTTTTCTATAATTAGCCCCAACGTTATGACATAGTGATCAATATTCCTTAATGTTCGTCCACCAAAACTTGATCTAGTTAGCCACTCATTCTCAAGAACAACATGTCGTGGTATGTGACGATACAATGGCTTTAAGAGGTGTATTTTGTCCTGATTTTTTTTTTTAAGAAGAAAGGATGAGACAGAGGAGGCAAGCAGTCTGCTCAAAGGTAATAAAGTAAACAGCTTTTGAGGTTCTGTTTTTTTTAAAAAGTTGAAGCAATAGAAGCAGCCTGAATGGGTGGGGTCAAGCTCCCATGGAACCAGGATTTTTAGGTTTAGCTTTCAGACGATGCTGGGCCTTGAAGCTAGATATGGAAGCTTTATTTTCCTCTCTCTTTTACAGCTAAAAGCTGGGGTTCTCTTCCTGCTGTGGAATTGCATGTGAGACAATCTATTTTACTGAATTTGCCCTTGTCAAGGGTGTGTTTATGGGATGTTACTATATTGGAACAGTTAATCGGTCATAGTTTTATATATACATTGTTTATATGTCTAATATATATATTACTATTTTGTTAAGCATTTTAATAGACTTACAATTAAGATAATGCTTTTTTTAATTTTTAAATAAAAAATAAAGTGTGTTTTGCTTAAAATTGAGTAGTTTGACCAATCGAATTGCATCTGGAATGCAATGCCTTATACTTATAAAGTAGGAATTTTAAAACAGCACAGTGACTGACTATCTATAACTTGTCTGTTTTTTGAACAAAATAGAATGTATCTGCAAATACAAATTCACCCCATAGATTTGCGTGTGTGTGAGAGAGAGAGGGGGTGGAAGAGAGAGAGAGTGTGAGTGTGTGAGTGAGTGAATGTGTGAGTGAGTGAATGTGTGAATGAGTGAGTGTGTGAGTGAGTGTGAGGGTGAGTGAGTGTGAGGGTGAGTGAGTGTGAGGGTGAGTGAGTGTGAGGGTGAGTGAGTGAGTGTGAGGGTGAGTGAGTGAGTGTGAGGGTGAGTGAGTGAGAGAGACAGAGAGATATATACAGGAAATGATGCTCAACTCACCGATCGCCAGTTCCAATGTGCCACAGCAAAAAACGGTAATGACTTCCTCAGAAGACAGGCACTGGATATGTCCGATAGCGTACCCTTTGTCATCCAGTACTTCCTGGGAGCAGAGAAACTACGCCTTGTTCTTCATAGCTTTTAACACATTATCAATGACGATGAGCACCTCGCCTAGATCTTCCCACGCCTCCACTTCTTGCCTTCAAACAACCGCCAAACCTTAAACAAATTGTTCGTAGCAAACTACCCAGCCTTCAGCACCACACCACACAAAGTTGTCATGGCAACCTGTGAAAGACATGTCAGATTTTCGACATGGACGGTACCGTCACATGTGGGAAAACCACCCACCACGTCCACGGTGGATACTCATGTGACTCAGCCAACATTGTTTATCCCATATACTGCAGGCAAGGATGCCCCGAGGCATGGTATATTCACGAAACCATGCAGACGCTACCACAACAGATGAATGGACACAGCATAAGAATCACCTGACAGGAATGTTCCCTCCCAGTGGGGGAACACTTCAGCAGTCAAGGTCATTCGGTCTCGGATCTTTGGGTAAACAAAAACGCAGTCACCAAGCAAAGGCTAATAGCCAAGTTTGGTATCCATGAGGATGGCCTCAACTGGGATCTGTGCTCATGTCGCATTACAGGTGACCCCACCACACTATACACTCACACACACACACAC